TGTGAGCGGCGGTAGGGTGGCACGAATGAAATCGCTTGAAATCTTGCCTGGAGAGAGCATCAGCAAGGATGTTGGTAGTTCCAGGTATGTGACGGGCGGTGACCATAAAGTTACCCTTGGCGCAGATGAAGAAGAGCTGCCGTAGGAGTGACATCACATTAGGGCAGCGACTGGTGCCAGACTTGAGAACAGCGGCGACAGCTTCGTTGTCGGTATGGAAGCGGATACGCTTGCGACACCACTGGTGGCCCCACTTAGCACATGCAATGCAGATGGGATACAGCTCCTTGAACGTAATGCAGAGCGGAGTGTGTTGTGGTGACCACGTGTCGGCGAACCAATGCGTGCCGTAAACTGCGCCATGCCCAATGGCGCCAGATGCGTCAGTTTCTATCAGGATGTCGCTGGCCAGCGTCTCCTGGAGATCGAGGAAGAATGACTTGCCATTCCAGCCATCGAGTAGGTGAGACCACCAAAGAAGGTCCAGATGACATTCTGGAGAGAGACGGATGCGGTGGTAGGGCTTGGAAACGTTGCGCGTGCCATCATACAGTCGGCACATGAATGTACGGCCCGGCGTGATGACGCGGCTGGCAAAGTTCAGCTTGCCCAACAGCTGTTCAAGCTCCCGTAGACGGCAGGATTGGCGTTGGCGAAAGGCCAATAGTCTGGAGCGGATGTCGTCAACCTTGTCCTGTGGGAGACGAGCCACTTTCTGGACGGAGTCCAGTTCGATGCCCAGGAAGGTGAGACAGGAGGTTGGGCCGACTGTCTTTTCGTCGGCAATGGGAACTCCCAGGTAGCGGAATACGGAGAGGACTACGTTCAGACGCTGCGCACATAGCGTTGAGTTTGCAGGGCCACAGAGCCAGAAGTCGTCCAGAAGGTGCAGGAGGTGGGGAACCTGGAACAGTTCACAGCTTATCTGGCAAAGTGCGTCCGCAATGCAGTTAAACACGTAGGGTGCGGACCTCAGCCCGAATAGCAGTACTTTGCCATAGTAGAATTGGCCCTGCCACTGGAAACCCAACAAATGGTATGCAGTGGGTGCGACAGGGACCAGTCGAAATGCATTGCGTATGTCGAGCTTCGTCATCAAGGCACCGGTACCTTGACGTTGCAGAAGCTCAATGACATCGTCCACTGTGACATAATGTAGGGAGAACGAATCCTTGTTTATTCCATCATTGACAGACATACGGTCAGGGTAAGACAGCTGTTGAATGAGGCGGAATTTCCCGTTGTTCTTGGGCACTACGCCGAGCGGAGAGCATACAAATTGGTGGAAAGGCTGGATAGAGAAAGGACCGGCCGATTCGTCACGTCGGACCCGGTCAGCAATTTGTTGTTGTACAAACTGAGCATGTTCAATGGCAGTTGGGAGGTTGCCAGAGATGATAGATACAGAAGCACCAGAGTGGCCAATGGGGAACCCGTGTTGCGAGCCATTAACCCTTTACCATCCATGTGTACTTGGTCCGACTTATTAAAATTTGCGCTTCACTTCAAAACTCAAGCATATGTACAAACGAGCACCTGTACTAAAAAATCAACCAAGAGACGGTAGATAGATAACTACTGTGTCGTTTATTGACCTGACCTTCTAGTTTTCATCGCTGCTGGTGTCTCAGGGCGCATCTGCAAGTGCGTCAACCTGCAAAACGTCGCCATTTTTTTTCATCTCCTCCAAGCTACACTGCGCTTCTTTGATTTTTTCACTCCATAGGCACGATTTACACGATCCACTTCGCCTCCTCCTCCTTGTGCAGTACGACTACCAACATGGTGGTTGTAGGTGTTTTCGCCTGAAGCTCGCACAACACCTTCAAATGAGGTGAACAGTAAACCACCACGCATAAAAAATCACTTCTGACCACCGTGTACCGCGCGCGTACTGAGTCTGAGCTGTGTCGACATGTCATGCAGTCAGACCATGCGTGCTCTTCCCTGCCTGTTTCACGAATCCACTGCACTGGCCCCGGAGACTGGCGATCTTGTGACGCATCGCGATCGCGGCTCCGCGCGCGGGTCCGAGGACTCCGCACCGTATCCGCCGGATAATTCCCCCTTTCTGCGCTTCAGTTTTCCAGGCAGGTTGTCGCCTGAAAGTCGACCTCAAGGCCGGTTATATATTTCGATCAACTTCTCGACGATCTCTTCTGTGACCTTGATTCGTCGGCCGCCACATCGTGAACGACTGCGAGAGAGATCAGCAAACTGGACGGAGCGATGCTGGTGCTTTCTGCACGAGTTTCTGGATGACGCGTTTGCTGAAATTCTGCCAAGGAAACAGCGATTTCCATCCGCCAGGAGGCACTCGAGAACGATCGCCCAGGAGGTTTCGGTACTCCGTGACAATCCCCCATCGCAGCGGGGTGTTGATTTCAGCACCAGGCCTTCTCTGTGTTGCGCGAGAAGCAACAGAAGTCCTCTGACGACAAAATTTGGACGCAAAATGCTCGAGTCGACTAGGATCCTGAGCCTCCGTTGGAGTTGGAGCCATTTCTTCTTCAACATCACAAATTGACAACTGAAGGATAGTGTTAGGTAGCTGGAAAGTTTATTCCGTCCTGAGATTATTTGAATTTGTTTGGTTGACATTCGAAGTGAAACGCACATTTTAATAAGTCGGACTAAGTACTTGAATCGATCTCTAGAGATCGTTGGACATGCATACACTGAAACATTCGTAACTCAATCGATTCTTTTTTTTATTTTATTTTTTTACAAAAAAAACACACACCATTTGATGGCACAAAGCAGCAAGGCAGCAATGAGACATATGGAATGGCAGGAGTGGGGGAGAGGCAGGGGCAGCTTGACCGACCATAGGGTCTCGGCTTCATTGCAACCCAAGCGCTCCACAAAAACAAAAGATTACAGAAAATACGCAGGGGGGGGGGGGAGGGGGGGGGGGGTAGATAACTGGGGATTACGGGGAAAAGTATGCACAATAAAAAGTTATCAGAGAGTCAACGAAGTGAATGGAGGAGGGAACAGAGTTAGAGCTTTTTTCGTCTTTTTTCTTTGATTCATAGCCTGTCCGTTGCCCACTCCCAGCGGGTAAGGCGCAGGTGGGCGTTGACCTTTTCTTTGAACGTCTGCGGTCCTTTCCTTGTTGGCTGGTTCAGCAGAACGCACTGCGGGAGCTGGTTCCAGACCTCCACAACAGCGTCAGGGAAGGACCGAAGGACGTCATTCCGTGCTCTGGGCGGAAGAGTGGAAGTGAGCTGAAACTGGTGTGAGGGATGCTTTTGTGTGCGTCGGCTATGGCGTGATGTGTTGGTCGCTCGGGGTGGAAGAAGGGTGAGAAGCATGTCTGGGCCAGTTGAAAAGTGGAGCTTGTACAGAAAGCAGAGTGCTCCGACCATTCTGCGGATGTCCAAGCTACAGTCCATTCATTGGAAACTGGCACCCTAACTTTTTGTTGTCTCTCTCACATAGTTGTAGATATCGTGAAAACAACAGTACGTCCTGCATTGTGTGACCCGTGCAATTACTCTTTGCCACATTTGAGGGCAGAAAAGTCCAAGAACAGGGAAATAGAAATTCAGCCAGGTTTTACAAAATTAGGACAGGTATGCCATGGCAAAATGTATGGAGAAGCAGATCCAAAACCCAGATTTTTGAGATTTAAAGTGGGTTTTTGATCCTCAATTCAGCCCAAATCCGACTTCCAAAAGCCAGCGGGCCAGTTTCCGATGAATGGACTGTAGGGAGGTAGGCTCCGTCACCGATTAGGTGAAGGCCACGACGTTGGATGGCAGTGAGGCGAGCCAGAGTGGTGGGTGCAGCGCTCATCCTTACGAGCATGCCGTACTCCAAAACAGGGCGGACAAAGCCCTTGTAGATCACTCCACGGCACCTGGAGTCCAGCACTCGCGAGGCTTTCCGGAGGAAGCCGAGACGCTGCGAGCCTCGAATAGCCAATTGCCTGATATGAGCTGTGAAGGACAGGTGTTGGTCAAACAGCACACCCAGCAGCTTCAGCTGGTCGACTTCCGGAACAACTGTACCCTGGAATACAATCGGTGGGACGACGACTGTGTTGCGATGGTGAGAAATCAGGAGAGACTGAGACTTTGTAGGTTCAAACCTAATGTGCCAGGCCATTCCCCAGTCTGCCAGCGCATTTACAGCAAGCTGGAGTGTGGTAACATCTTCGGGTACGGCAGTATTGGTCGATATGCACTTGTACAACGTGGTGTCATCAGCATATGCAGCAAGCTGGGCCCCAGCAGGTAGATGATCCTCAGCATCATTCGTATAGAGAAGGAATAAAGTCGGGCCCAAGATGCTACCCTGGGGGACGCCTGACATGATGGGGTAAGCAGAGGAGGACTGTCCGCTCACTACAGCCTGGAGCATGCGGTTGGTGAGGTAGCTTCTGAGCCAGGTGAGAAGATGTCCCTGGAGCCCATACCGCTCAGCTTTATACAGGACACCCGGGTGCGACACTTTGTCGAACGCCCCAGCAATATCCACTGCCAGGACGCGCACAAGTCCTCCACTGTTGGCAACTCGGCTCCATTCGTGTTGAAGAGCTAGGAGGAGGTCGGTTGCGCCAAGTCCAGAGCGGAAGCCAAATTGGCGAGCAGAGAGAATAGAGTTGCTGTCGAGAAAGTTTGTGATGCTCCGGTTGATTATGGTTTCCATACATTTGGAGATAATGGAGAGAAGGGATATTGGGCGGTAATTCTTCACACAAGATCTTGAGCCCTTCTTGTGGACCGGGACAACGTTTGCCACCTTCCAGGCAGATTGCTGGTGGCCTTGTCGGAAGCAGAGAGAGAACAGATGAGCGAGCGGGCGTGCAAGAGAATCTGCACACATCTTAAGCACCCGAGAGGGGACAGAGTCAGGGCCAGTTGCTTTTGACGGATTGATGGTTTTAAGCACACGCCTCACAGCAGATTGGCGAAAGTACACTGTTGTTATTCTGTGTAGTGAACGCTGTTTGACATCGGGAAAGGCGGTAGCAACATCACTGAAGTCAGTCTCTAGTCTAGACTGCATTTTTCAGCAAAGTAGCTTTCAATAACCTCGGCTTTGTCGCGATTCTGTGTGTACTCCTGTCCATCAGAGTCAATAAGAACAGGCATAGTGCTGTCACGACCACTTCCACCTGCACGCTTAACCACGGTCCACCACTCCTTGTTCTGGATGTTTCCCGAGAGCAGTTTATTGCGTATTCTCTGGAGGTGATGTTCTTTGGCTCTAGAAAGGCAAGTCGATGAGGTCACGCAGGCAAGGCGATATTGCTCCTGTAGTGCCGGGTTGGCCTGGCTGCGACGAAGTGATCGCCATGCATGGCGTTTGGCAGCGACAGCAGCAGAGCACTCGGGGGTCCACCAGACGGGATCAGTGGGCTTCGTCTTGAGAACTTTCGATGGGATGAATCTGGTCATTCCTTTGATGATCCTCTGGGTTACAAGATTGCATGATGTATCAGGCTCATCAGTGATGATGTCAGTCCAGTCAGTGTCACGGTAGAAGGCTCTCAGACGATCCCAGTCGGCATGCTGATATCGCCATACTGTACGCGCAGTTGGTCTGTCCCGGTGTGGTGTCAGCTCGAAGTCTGTGATCACTACAGCATGGTCCGACTGTCCCAGGGGTGGGTACAGTGTACTGATGATATTACCAGGTACGTCTGACATAACGAGGTCGAGGGTATTTCGCCCACGAGTAGCTTCGTGGATGTGTTGGGTGAGGCTGTGTTGGTAGCATAAATCTTCGGCTGTTTCTCCCGCCAGTGTGGTGCGCCTACTGCCGAGCCAATTTGTATTGTGTACATTAAAATCACCAGCTACAATGACGCGAGAGCAGGAGCGACGTGCAGCATCAATCCCAGCATCAAGATGGGAGAACAGCCGTATGTCATTGTCTGCACAGGAGCCTGGGCGATATACAGCACATACACCAACCTTTGTGCCCTGTGGTCCAGTTATGCTAATCCAGAGCATTTCCTGGTCGGCACAGTCGATGTTGACCTGTCTATATGGTAGGCCAGCCTTCACCCAAATTGCAACCCCACCACCATGTGCTGTTCTGTCGCGCCGTATAGCAGGGTGGAAGCCAGGTATGGATGTTTCCACTGGCGTGGCTTTCTCCGGAGTCAGTTTGGTCTCTGTGACAATTGCTAGGTCAACATTATGGTGCATGAGGACGTGCTGGAGCTCGCCAATCTTATTCAGTATGCCAAAGGCATTTGTGAGCATTAGGCGGAGTGGTCGTGTCTCTGTCATTCAAATATTGTCGGCATACTTGGTCCCTTGGCCTGTTGCTCTGGCGAGTGCTGTGCTGTCTGAGAGGGTAGGGTGGCGTGGGAATCACTGTCGTCCTGCTCAGTGGTCGTGTTGTTGGAGGAGTCAGTGGCATACTTGTCAAAGTTCCACAAGTGGGAATACACTGGTTGGGGCCAGAATGCCCGGTTATTTACTAGCTCGACGCTGCTTTTACTGATCACAATCCTAGCAGAGACACGACCATCTTTAGGGAAGGTCTTGCAGGCAAAGACTTCCAGGTCCACATCCGCTCTTCTTGCCCTGTTTATAACAACCTGGGTCAGTTTAGTGTCAGAAGTGTCAGGCTTCAGGTTCCCCACGAAAAGGACACTCTTCTTTGCTGTCGGCTTTCGACTGGTTAGCACTTGCCAGCTGTCTAGATCTACCACTTCGTCGGTCATTTCGCTGAACTTTGGCAGCTTGCTAGTGGGGCTTGACCGTCTGCGGCTAGGGTCCTGGGCACGTGCGCGTGATTGGGCCAAAGTGTTTGTACAACTAACGTTACTTCGTTCGTTTGCATCCGCGCCCGCATCACTGACTGGACTCGTACGAGTGTGCTCTGGCTCCAACTCATGCTCACCATCCGTGTCGGTACGACGGATTTCAAAAGTAGTTCTACCGTACGCATCCTCGAGCAGCTGTTCTGCAGCCGAGGATGGGGTAATGGCGGAGTCCTTTGGCTTTTTCCTTCGAGGTTTCCGCTTAGGTGGCTCCTGTTCTGCCCGACTAGGCCCAGTGTTCGTGTCGATCCTGGCGGAAAGTTCCAGCAACTCCCTCGAACAGGTCGTCCAATCTCTGCAGTAGGCGACGTTCGCAGTCTGAAGCCTCCCCGCGCACTCTACACAATTCCTCCATAACCGCCTGGCATTCATGGCAGCTCTGGCTGTGCCCGGTGGGCATGTTCCCTGCGGAACCAGTTGGCTCTTGACTACAGACCGAATTTGCAGCTGTATGTGATCTAGTGGTGGTGGGCATTCTTTACCCACGACACCCAAAATACTCCGACCCGCGGAGCTAAAAAATGTCCAACCGTCATCCACACTTATTTGCAGTGGTGCTAGGGCCACTTGTGTATCGACCTGCCTGGCTGGCGGTGCTGCCTCCGATGATCCTTGCCTTGGATGTGCCCACACCGACCGTCTGTCTGTCTTCAAGGTGGCAATGGCTTCCAACTCCTAAAATTCTTTGCGGAATTAAAAAAAACTAAGTATCTAGGAAGAAGCCGAAGAGCCCAGCTTTCCATTGCATCAATTGGTGAAGAGCTACGATGTCGCATTCCAAAGATATGACGCTCGACATTTCAGCCACAGCAAAAAGTCGAATTTCTTTCCGAGTGACAGACCTTGAGCGGGGACTTTCCCCTCTCCTGGCATGCGGAGTCACTTTGGCATGCTTTGAGCGCGTGGGCAGCATGAAAAGAAACTCAAGCAAACAATTTGGAGTGTTTACGATGAAGGAGGGAGAAATGGCTGGCGAGGAGAGAATTTCCTCGTATATCCAGCGATGGGGTGTATTTGAAGCTCCCTGGCGCTGGGTATGTGATCTCAGTAGTGTGCTGTTTGAGCTCAATGTACGCAGCTCGTGGAGAGCTTTCCAGAATGCCCAAGATTGCGAAAATTGGTTGACTAGACCCGAAGATATTCTCAGAATACGGTGAGACAAATTGCATTTGGGACTGCTGGGGAGTTAAGGTCGGATGGTAAAGGGTTAAGGATAAAGTCAGAGAGGACACGATTAGAAATACGAGGCAAAAGAGTCATTAGGCGGGCTATGTACAGAGGCGTGGGGAGACTACTTTGCTGCGACGGGCTTGTCCGTCTGGCGGGGTCCCCAGCGACCGTCGTTGGTGCAGCGAGCGGCGGGATGACCTCGGTCGCCGCAGGTTGAGCAGACGTGCAAGCGTTCACAGGGCTGGTGTTGGCATGGGCGGCCACGGTTGAAGTTGAGGCAGATTTGGCGGGTGCTGCCCGCCCCGGCCAGAAATGGCTGCGTAGGACGGCTGGTGGTGGTGCCAGCTGGAGCATGTGGCCCTGCCAAATACCGTGAGCAACGGTCACGGCTGTGGTGCGTTGTGCAGCGCGGACATAATGGTCGGGGTGCCCGGATCAGGTGCAGGCTCCAGAGGCTTTGGTCGATTGCGTCCCAACGAGCCGAGGTTGTTGCCACCGCTGCACGGAAGGCACGGTCATACCCCAGTACATCTGGGGTCGCAAACTGCTGGTTGCCAGTACAGATAATGGGCTGGTACGTCACCAGCTCCAGTGCTCGGAATGGCACATGTTTCAGTGCGCAGGTCATGTAGATTGTGTAGGCTTCCAGCCAGGCAGTGAAGTCGACAATGGAGCACTTCTTAGTCACACATAAATTGAGGGACACACGCCGGCCCTCTCCGTTGGCGGTACTGAGCTCCAAGGGCTTGGACCCTGCGCCCACATTCTCCGGGAGGAGATCCTCCAGCTCAATATATTCGCCGCGTGTGATTTTGTCAAGCAACTTACGCGGGACCGTGGGAACAATAGAGCTGGACTCACGAGTGTTCGCCATGGGCGCTGCGATCGGAGGCAGCGCGGGTTGCATGAGGGAAATGTCCATGGGGCCGGAGTCGACTTGCGGCGGGTGATGGGTGACGGTGTTGGACGCGGTTTGGACCACATCTGCCACTGAGGGGACCGCCGCCTGAGCATGGCCGTCCGGATCCTGGCAAGCTGAAATTCGCTCCTCAAGGCGCTCGACTCGAGCCAGCAGGGGGTGCAGGGCCGTCGACACGGCCGCCGTAACGGAACGTGGATTTAGGCCAGTTGTGAGTAAGCTGACCGGCTGGGGAACGGCGGACGGGATATCGTCCTGCTCTGCACGGGCGTTGCCGGAACGATCCGCACGGGCATTGCCGGAACGATCGGCCACATGGTCCGCAGGGGCTCAATTTGGAGTGTCGGCATTCGGGGACGACGAGGCGCGCCTGCGACTGGAACGCCTGGGCCCGGGAGCCGACTGCTTACGTGCACGGGGCATCTCCGTGAGCTGTGGTAAACCTTGAGATTGAGGTTGAGAAAGAAATCCACTGCCAATGCGGACAAAGCAAGAACTGAAGTCAGGAACAGTGGACTTCGGATAACAATGAGCGCATGAGAGTTTGTTGGGAACAGAGCATGCGCCTTCTGTGTTAACATATTTTTGCGCGTGCGCAAAAAATCATTTAATGGGTGCACGCGGCTGCTTCGTGCTACCACTCAAACTATGCTGCTATGATTGCTGGTGCTTTTACTGCATGCTCATGCTTTGCTGCTGGCTACAGTCAAGTGCGCTGTACATCACGGTATCCATGTCGGTCACACGCCTTGGTGCATGCTCACATGGTACTCAGTGTCTGCTCTAGGATTGTAGGACAGCCGGGTACACGTGTACCTGGCGCAACCATTTCAACCGGGTGGGAGCCGGGTACACAATGTACCTGGCGCTGTCTCTCCAGCCGAGTCACATGTTTTTTTTTTCGGACAATTAACGGGAACTAGGCCCAATGATTATAAAGGCGAATGGATAAGCCGCATTTAGGAAAGAGAAAGGAAAAAGACATTATGGATACGAGTTAAGAGTAACTCTCCATCACTGTAACATGATACTATATACAGTCAGAAAGTGCAATAACTAGGCACAAAACTGACAGAGTACTGAGACATTCGACGTCCTGACACCTAACTTCAAAACATCTCCGTACTCTGTCAGTTTTGTGCCTAGTTATTGCACTTTCTGACTGTATAAAGTATCTCTTAATTTGCTAAATCTTATATATAGGATTTTGGTCATATTTTTCAACTCAAAATGGGTGTGGCATGAGAATAGCAAAAAGTATGTGACCAATTCTTCCTTGCTAGGTCTTAGTAGATATCGAGAGTTGAATAAGATAATTTTTTCAAACACTACCATCTCAGGCTCATCTCCTTGCCCAATATTACTAAGGCCTGTGCCCTATTTTTCGAATCCTATATATAGGATTTGAGATTTTATTGGACCTTGTTTTATCCTTAAAACTGGTAGTTTCATGACGGCATGTGCGATATGTCGTCATGAAACCACCCCGTGCCACACCTGCAATGTTCTTCTGTACATTCACTGCTTCAGTCCTTTCCATGACAGCAGCTGAACAATTATGCTCAAATTTCCAATTATTGCTGAAAATGGATATTCATCAGAAATATTATCGCCCTATGAATCTAAAATGTAAACATTCATTCCTCAAACATATTAACAACATCCATGAAAACCATTATGTCGTTATTATTGGTCGTGATGACCAATAACAATGGCATAAAAGGCACACATTTTCAAATCCTATATATAGGATTTTCGGTCAGCAAATTAAGAGATCATGTTACAGTGATGGAGAGTTACTCTTAACTCGTATCCATAATGTCTTTTTTCCTTTCTACATTTATTTATGGCTCAACATCCGAGTTAGAAAAGAGAGGACTGGAATTAGAAAATTACGAAAGAAGAAGAAGTATCTGACACATACAAGCCATGGACATGTAGTCAGTCCTTTCAAAGTTCGAAAGTGTAAAGTACCAACCGGGTCACAGGTGACCCGGTACAATATTTTCAACCGGGTCCAAGCGCCGGCCAACCGGGTGGATTACCCGGCTCACCCGGCGCTGGAGCAGACACTGGTACTCTATGCGTCGTGGCATTCTATGTGTCATTCAACGTGACACTCAACGTGACATTCATTCATGCGCGACGCTCAACGTAGGCGGCATGCAACGTGGGCACTCAACGTGTCATGTTAAAGTTTGCTTAGTTATATATTTCGATCCGTTCTGTGCGTGGATCACTCTTGTCAGATCATTGTGTTTCACCCACCCACCTCCCATTTCTCATCTCTCATTTACTTTGATAAAGTACATAAAGGGGTGTTGGCCATGCTCATTTCCGGCTAC